TAATGTCAATCCTTGTTGTATTCAAAAGGAAAATTGTAATAAGATAAACCTGCCACCATGTGCAGTGCCATCCTTTTTGAAACGAGATGGATTAGTGAGAGCTCCTAAGCTCTGTCAGCTCTGCAGCTCCAGGATATCGACCATTCCCCAGGGCACCCTGGAGAGCATGAAGTGCCAGCCTAGCTTTATACCTGTGATTCCAAAGCATGGGAACCTGACATAGGCCCAAATTTCCCAGGTACTGTGATGTTTATCCTACCACTGTGCTGTCTATGTATTTGTGAGGATTCTTCAAGACCTGAAGAGAGGAGAAAAGACATCTGCCACCCCTCTGCTCCAGCAGTGCTGGGCAGCATGTGCCCTGTAGTGTTCTGCTGCTCCACCATGCAGATGTGGCCCTTTGATGCTCACCAGATGACTGATAACCATGTTTGGTCCTGGGACCACAAAGCTGCCATGAAACACATGGACATCACAGCTTCAGACTTCAGTCAGGTAAGTTGAGGAGGCTGAGAGTGCCTGGCTTGTTGGGGGCTGGATCAGACAGATGTTGCCTTGCTCCAAGGGGAATCCAGACAGGCACTGCAAACTATGCCTTTGGTTCAGAAGGATCTGACCACAATGGGCACAACCCCCTTTTGGCTAATGCACTACGGTGTCAGCTGATACTTTGTAAGGACCTGGAAGTAAAAGGTGAACCATCGCCACAGTGAAAATTGCCCTGTCAAAATCTTGCTCTTAGTGTCATGCTTAATGTGGACCAGATAGCATGAGGCTTTCAGAAAGATTTGGTGCAAAAACTCGGTGCATTCATTAGTCATGAGATGCCTTCTGTTGGTCAAAATTATCAAGCCAAGGAAGACATGACAGTGGGTCTTCAAGGAGTTGAAGACTGGAAAAAAAAAATCATGTAAAGCCCTGTTCTTTCTTATTCCCCGTTGATCCATGTGAAGGTGGAAAGCCTCTGGTTGCCTAGCAGAACTTCATGGTGTCTTGCTAAAGTATGTCAAATGGTCTGGAGCTAATCCTGACTCTGTGCACCCCAAACCAGGTGTCCAGCTTTCCACCCAGTGCAGGTGACCAGTTTGGGAGCCCTGTAAGATTTTTCACAGGTAGGGCTTAGCTCAAGTAAGAGACAAAAAGCCTGCAATACTCTTTGCACTTTGTCAACACAAAACTTTACTGTTTCTCTTTAGCTTCTCTTTCTGAAGCATTTTTTCCTGTCTTTGTCAATCAAGAGATGGTGAGACCCAAGAAACCATAAAAGGCAAATTTAGACAGTCTGATTTTTTTCATTCAGGTGAAGACTCCCTAAGATGCTGGACATGTTTGGTCTTCTGGCTACAATCAGCTTTCTCTGATATGGAAAGCAACACTGTAAGTACAGTATTTTCAGCAAGGAAAGGATCATGAACTTCTATCTCCATGCTCCTGCCCTGGCCCTATGCCTGCAGTGTTCCCCAAAGTTCCCCGGATTTGATTACAATGATGTAAAAGGAAGGACTCTAGAAAAAAGGGGGTCCAAGAGCGCTGGTCAATACTCAAGCATCACATTTTCCTAGCTCAAGACCAGGGTATTGCCATGAGCAAGAAACCAAGCAAAGGGGGCAGGAGACCCCTTTGGATGAGCAGGGAGCTTCTAATAAATCTCAAGCAGATTCTGGGATGTGGAAAAAGGAACTGGCTGTGTGGGAGGACTGAAGGAACAGTCAGAGTATGTGGGGATGTGACAAAGAAGGCCAAAGGCCATGGAGAATTAAATCTGACAAGGGATATGACGGACAAAAAGAAGGGTTTCTGAAGTACATTAGCAGCAAAAGGAAAATTTGGAAAAATGTGGGGCTGCTGCTGAATCAGATGCATGTCCTGGTGACAGAAGACAGAGAGAAGGCCCAGTTACTGAATGTCTCAGTTTTTAGTGCTGAAGTTGGGAACCCCAGACTTTGGAAGTAAGAGAGGAAGGGTGGAGAAAGGGAGACTTCCCCTTGGACATAGAGGGCTGAGTTAGAGATTGGCTTGGCAGGCTTATGTCCCATAAACTTCTTTACATTGAGAGTAGCAGACATTGGAATAGGCTCCCCAAGGAGGCCATGGAGTCTCCCTCTGGAGACATCCAAATCCACCTGAACACATGCCTGTGTAGCTTGCTCTAGGTGACCCTGCCTTAGCAGGAGAACAGGACTAGGTGATCTCCAGCGGTCCCTTCCAACTGTGATTCTGGGATTTCCCAAAATGCTGAGCCACATGCTACAGCCAAATCTGAAAATTTTCCCTGGGGTCTACTGGCCGTCCCAGTGCCAGGCAGAGAAGCACAGTCTGGAGGTGGCCCAGATCCACAGGCAATTAATAGCTCCGTCAATTTGGGAGATGATTTCACTTCAATTATGACTCCTTAAGGCAAAACTTTTGGCCCTTACTGGTTTTGAGATTTCTTTTACAGCCATCACTGGAAATGTGATCTCATATTAATCTGCTTGCAAAATAGGCTTAGTGCTCCTCCCTTGAAGAGAGACGAACTGGAGGTCTGTTCCAGCCAAACCTTAAGCATACATTTAATTTTGTCATGCCAGTGCAGGGCCAGCTTGAATATATGATCCTGTAATGAGCATTCACAAAGCACAGTGGAGCTCTGGAAGTATGGACTGCTGAACTGCTCACTCCTACACAGTCAGGGAGCTGCATTGCATATTGGAGAACTAGAGCATACAGAATTAACTTCATCTTAATTCAGTCCCCTGAGTATGCCATAAAGTTCTCACTGGTAATACTGTCCTCTGAGGACATTATGACATGTCAACATAGTGACTATTTTCTCATCCGATGGCAATAACAAACTGCCATAATGCAAAGTATAAAAAATTCAGACTCTTCTTAGTTCTGGTAACTACCATGCCATCAGAAGATGAGATTTTATATCTTTATTAAGAGAAATGAAAAAAAACTATTTACAGCATGCTAGCCAGTAAGACAAAAATGAACTAAAGTACCAACCAATCTACTACAATTTTCTTTACCGGTACTTACATTCTAATCATAGCATCTCAAACTTAGCTTGTCAAGTTACCCTTCAAATCAAATGCAAGAGAAAAATCTATGCTTGGCTGTGCAACTATAAACCCAGCCAGTCTAGTAAAGTGAGAGTTACTCTTCCACATACTTGGCAAATCTGGGAGCAGAATTTACCACTCGATGTAAATATTTCTGCATGGTTTGTTTAAAAAAAAAATTAAAAAATCTTTCCTACTCCTCTCTCTGGCAGACTCTTAGAAAGTAGTAAATATGCAGATGGGCATAGTGATATATTTTGTATCAACATATTTCAAATGTGTGCATATGCATTAGCTATATAAATACATTCCCCAGGAAGTCTGCCAGTGGATGTACTACAAAGCCTTGTATGTTACATTTGGGTTTGCTTGTGCAGTAGCACAGCAGTGTCAGGAAGAACTGCTCTCAGCTTATTTGCTCTACAGCAGCTCACACTTACCTGCACAGCTTCCTGTTTCTCTCAGGATGTTCAAAGGTGCTATATTTATATGCCATGAGTGTGTATGTAGTGTACATATAAATATACAAATATATACACACACATGCAAGAGTGTGACTCATAGAATGCTTTGGGTGGGAACCTTAAAGATCATGTAGTTCCAACTCCCTTGTCACAGGCAGGGATACCATTTGTTAGACTAGGCTTCTCAGAGCTCCATTAACCCTGTTGTTGAACACCTCCTGGGAGGGAGCATCTGCAGGTTCTCTGGGTAGCCTGTTCCAGTGCCTCATCATCCTCACAGTAAAGATTTTTTCCTAACATTCAATCTAAACCTACTCTGTTTTAGTTTGAATTCATTCGCCCTTGTCCTGTCAACACGTGCTCTTGCAAAAAGTCCTTCTCGTCTTTCTTGTAGGTTCCTTTAAAGTACTGACCACAATTAAATAAACCCAAAGTCTTCACTTTTCAGACTGAACAAAACTGATTTTCTCAACCTTTCCTTGCAGAAGAGGTACTCTGTTCCTCCAATCAACTTTGTGGTCCTCCTCTGGATTCAGTTCATGTCTTTTCTGTCCTGGGGACTCCAGAGGTGGATGCAGGTGAGGGTCTCCAGGTGAGGATCTCACAAGAGCAGAGTGGATGGGCAGAATCCCCTTTCACAACCTGTTGGTCACGCTGTTTTTGGTGCAGCTCAAAACACAACCTGTGCTGCCCAGTATCCCTGCTACTCCACTCCACTTGCAGTATCTGCCTCTGGTCCTGCCCCCTCTCCCTGCTTCTCCCGCTCTGTAGAAAAATTGCTGCACAGACAGATTCCTGAATGCAAGTGGGGCAAGCAGGCCTTGCCCAAACTCTGGACAGACTGACTAGAGGTTGGAGACTAATGAAGTACAAAGAGGGAGAACATCTGCCTGCTGCCCTTGTGGTCCTGCTGTCCCCTTGTCTAAAAGATTGAACAGTGTCATGTTTCTTGCTGTGACTGGGCTTCTTTTCCGGTATCAGTATCGGGAATGAGGCAAAGGGTATCGCGTTTTTATCACTATTTACATGAGCACTGACAGATGGGGGCAACGGAGGAAACGGCTGCAGTACTGTGGGTGGATGTGTATGTGGGGTGTCATTATCCATGCACTAGGGAACCAAACAGATACTGTTGCAATGGAGCTATGAGAACCATGCTCTTCTACTTCATTGTGCAAGGAAAAGCCACAACAAATACTGTAGTGGGAATGCAGCAAAAAGGCAACTTTGTATTTAATTCTAGACAAAAAAAAAAAATCAATTTGTTTTGCAATGATGATAAGCTAGAATGAGCATTATGCCATTTCTCCCCCCACCCCCAGCCCCTTCTTTGGAGCTACTATTTAGATGAGCTACAGTATTAAGAGAGAAGCTGCAAAGATGCTAGCTGCAAAAATAAAGGATGAAATAAAAAGTCAAGCATCCACATTTCCCCCAGCTGAAAATGAAGTTCTGAGGAAAGGGAGGAGGGAAAAGAAAAGGAACTTACCACGCTGCGAGTGAACTTTTCTAGAGAAGTTCTACGACCTTGCTCATTCTCTGGCTTAACAGGGAACGAAGTAGGGAGATAAAAATACAGAAAAAAACCCTTCAGCTTAAATGCAGTCTTTTAAAACAGCAGCAAAATATAAGGAAGCAGCAAGAAGAAAAAGCTGTTAAAAAATGTAAAAAGCAGAAATCAATGTTTGCAACAGCAAACATAAGAAATCAAAACGCCTTAAAGAATGAGAGACATCACTACTTGTACTCTCAGAGAATGTCACTTTTCCCCTGTGAGTTTTTTGAATGGTCCATATATGTCTGTGCATTGCTGTGTCTTACAGCTGTTGGTATTGATTTCTTGTTCACTGAATTTTCCTTCTGTTACTGTTCAAGTGGGGACGCCTGATTCTGGTTAACATCTGCCAAACAGCTAACAGAGGCTCCCATCTTCTTGTGCAGAGAGATGAAAAAAACACAGTAGCTTTCACAATATTAAAAAGCAATGTCTGAGTGGACACAGCACTGGAAGAAAACCACCACTGCACTCACTGCCAGTAAACCTATACTATTCTATTTATCCAAAGAGTAGAGGCGTATTTCCAGTAAGTCAAAACACAAGACAGCATATGCATGTCTTTGCAAGACAACAGAAAGATACAGACAAGTCCAGGGCACTGATATTTTTGTACCTGGAGTACAGGACTATTCATATGCAAGAAGACATTCAATTGCACTGTGAGAAAACAAGTGTGTGCATCATGGCTTCATTAACATATCCCTGAGAAGGTTGCTCACTGCAGCGCTTCGTTCATCTGGCACAAGGGAGATCTAATCACCACTAACAAGGAAGAACTAAATAATTTATTGGCATGTTTGCTGGAATATCTAAGAGAGAAAAATGGTTATAGAGTAGAGAAGAAAATGCTACCAAAGAAAGCTCACTGCAGTCAGGAAGCTGTGGGCACTGCAGATTTCCAGGAGAGACAGTTATTTTAATGTGGTGAACCAGCAAAATGGGGGTGGTAAGATGGAAGTAAAACTGCCATGAAGGGAATAAGGACCTACATGTAAGGGAAAACCACAGTAATGATGGTGCATCACAATGCACTGGAAACAGGCACTGCACTGGAGAGGCACCTACCTGACATACCATCTGTCACACATTCAGCTGCAGTAACAATCCCCAGGACAAAGGACCAATGCAAAAATCGATAGAGAAAACATAAAGAAGCCAAAACCATACCAGATAAATTGGATGAAAAGTTGCGTAGCTGAGTCTAGGCAAAGCCTTTTGATTCTTCTGCATGTTTATCACAGCTTTCACTGTTCTCTGATGTCTACACGGTTAGTCTTAAGCATCTCATGGAGAAATCGGACAGATTGTCCCTGCTGCACCACCAAATATGAGACCAAAGCATAAGGCCCTTTTAAGACAAGCAATATTTTTTATCCAGAAGAAAGAAACAAGCAACATCCACACTTATAACCAATTGAGGAAGCCACAGAACCAGCTCTGATGTCCCAAAGTGTTATCAAAAGTGAAAGCTAGAGGCACACCATTTTAGCCCAGACAGAGAATGGAGCCAAGGCCTCAAAGCAAGTACAAGGAATAAAGGAGCCTTCCTGGCTGGCAGGAAGGCAGCGATGTATCCAGTCCAGTGGTTCCCAAAGGAGTATTTATCATGCACTAATCCAAGAGTTAATTGCCTCTCTTTGGATGTGAGAGGAGAGAAAAGGCAAAAGAAACATCAGCCTCACTCTTTGGCTGAGTATTAGAGTCATACAAGTGCTCAGAGGATCACAGATTCCTTCTTGGAAGTAGCCTCAGTGGTGTCCCTACACCCCAAGACAGCAGAGGTGACAGAGAGGAGCTGCATTCCTGCCACTTTGGCTGGACATGTCCCAGACAGCACGACTGAGGAGAGCGGTGCCCAGCTGGGCACTGGGCCTCTATGCAGGTCTCCTGCAGGGGTGGTAAGACCCACCAGCAGCCAAGTTACAGACACAATTTCAGGAGAAGAAATACCTGAACAAAAGACTGAGTGTTCTGCAAGGCTCCTTAGGGGAGCAAGGCACTTGGGGTCTGCAGTATGATACTGCTGCAGGCTGGAAAGTCAGTGTCTGACCCAGCTGCACTTTGAAGTGGAGCTCTGGTGTGCACTGGGGTCAGAGGAGAGTGAGCTGCTATACAGGTCACATTGCACTCCTGCACTCCCTGTCAAAATTTAGAATCTCTGTTTTCTCTCCCAGCAAGGTGATGCATCTTCCCACCCAGCAGAAAGGCAGGATGGTGGTCTTCAAAGATGATGAGCACCTTGTTGAGGTGCTGAGAGCTTGTCTGGTGCAGGGCTCCCCACACAAGGCTGTTTGCTGCCTATCACAGCTGAGGATGTGTGGGGAAGCAGCACACAGAGCACTGACAGTGGCTCACAGAAGTGCCTTGCAAAGCACAGTCTGCAGTGCTTTGCACATTTGGCATGGCGGTGGCAGGCTGGGACCAGCTGGATGCGTGGAAGCTCATCCCCATAGCATCCAGCTCTGAGTCAAAGCCTGACATTTTCTAGTGAAATAAAAAGCAGCTGAGGCAGGCTGGCTGCAGAGTGATGAGCTGGCTTGAGCAGTTTGAATGTCTGTGGGTGTGGGTGCTGGCTGCTCTGCTTGCTGGCTCTTCCTGTCTGCCTGCCCATGTGGCTGGCTGCCTGCCGTGCAGGGAATGCCTGCCCACAGCTCTGCAGCACGGGGCTGAGCTGAAGAGGCTGCCTTGCACAGCAGATAAAGGAAATTTAAAAATAACAAAGTGCAAAAAAGAAATAAATAACTGAAAGACTGAATCACACCTATCCCAGTCCTGGGAACAGACCTGGGGTGTGGACCCTGGAGCCACTGCCTGCTGCAGCAGCCACAGCAGCCTTTGCACAAACATACACTGTGTGTGCAAAGGGCAAGGGCAGACAAACACATGTGCATGCCAGGTCGTGCAGTCCTCCCAGGTGCAAAAGATGCAATCTACGCCAGTAAATACACCAATGGACTCCACCAGCTAATGGCAAAGGACATATGCATTTGGATAAAATATGAAACAACCATCAGATGAAAACCTCTCAGCCCAGGCAGACAACAGAAAAATAGAGCTCACCACATAGATGCCATTCACTAATTACTGACTGGCTTCTCTGAATTTTCCTTTTTTTTTTTTAATCATTTACCCAGCCATCCAAACCTTAAGTTCCTTTGTGTAGATTCTGCTTGCATGGAAATTAAGTAGAAGAAAACTTAAGAAAAACAGCTGACACTGTCTATTAAAAGTAATTATCAGAAAATTGCTCAGCATCTTTATAACATTCAAGACAAGTCCTGCCACTGAATCAAACTGGCCATGTGTGCCCTGATGGGACTGAGAAGGGGGCATAATCTGCAACAAAAACCTTCCTGAGCAATACAGAGCAGCTGGCAATAGGGGGTGTGGTTAAAAGCAATGCTTCAAAAGGTGTGTGCGGGAAATGGAGCCTGCTCCTCATGGCATGAAGCTCCTAAGTATTCCCTCGCTGACCCTTTTTGCCAGGGATCTGAAAAGGACTAGGGAAATACATATAGAAATGCAGTTTTCTGAACATAAGGTCTACAAAATTCTCTATCTCCCTCCTTCCATGGATTTATTTTGTTGGCTATTGAATCCTTTTTTTTTTTTGGTATGAGACTTTGGGGTTTGAAGTGGTGTTTATTTTGAATTTGGTGAAAAATAATGTGTTCTGGAGGGAATGGGATTAGATAAAAATAAAGGGTAATAATATCCCTGACCCTGGGCTCAGAAAAGGCCAGGAGCAGATCCTGGGCTTCTCAGGCAGTCACATCTACCTGTCCAAAGTGAGAAAGCAAAGGGCATGTACAGTGCTACTAAGTGGCCAGAGTATTTTGCATATATTGTGTGTTTATTTGAATAAGATCACGGTGAATTCACACTCCCCTGAACCAGCTGGAGAGCAAAACAATGCTCTAAACCAAGAAAACACCAACCTGCTCTTCCCTCAGTGCTGCAGGGTTCACTCCCATGGCTTCACAGCCTGTATGCACTACAGCTGTGGCTGTCTTTCCAGGATGCTTCCCTGCCTATGGGCAGGGCTGGGTGGCAGGAAGCCACCCCATCCCAGGCTGACATGAACACCAGCACTGTGACAGTTCAGCTGCCGCTTCAGTAATGCAGAGATGCCAACCAATGTCATTGTTTCACCTTTACAGTGATTAATGGAAAGTACCTCGAGGTCTTTTCTGTTCCTTTCGCTCCCTGCTCTGCACAAATAACTAGCAGAGCACGTGTCTGGCTGCTTCTTCACCATTAACAAAAGTTCCTGTGCACTCACATCCCTTTCCATGGTGCACTAACTAATCGACAATGCTCTTTTTCCCCAGGGAATAAACCCCTGCTCTGCAGCCAAGTCACCCTGCCAAAATGCCTCCTTGCCTTGACTGAGGAGGTTTGTCGCAGCACTTGTCCTGACAGGTGGATCACTGCTGTCTAAGGACATCCAGCCACCATTTTGGCTACTGTGAAGAATAGCTGGAGGGCCATGCAGTGGTGATTACCTGCTGTAAGTACCCTGCAGCAAGGTGCATATCAGCAGAAACAGGAGCAGGTCAGTGCTTGACTCTGCTTAGCACCAGCAGGGTGTGTTGCATAGATGCACAAATAAAACACAGCAAGTTGCTCAGGGATCTCAGCACATCCAGCCCTTCACTTCTGAGCCAGACACCTTCAGCAGATCCATGATTTCTACCTGCTGCAGAGAGGGGGTGGGAATGGAGGCCCAGAGCTCTAGTTGGGCTGGGCACATGGCCATTCCTCCTGAGGACAGGGCTGTGTTCTCATCTCTCCTCCAGCCTGGCAGGGAGGAGGCCTTCTGTTCAAGGCAGAACGCTACACACAGTTTTTCCCCTCTGCAGCTCACTGCTTCTAATCACACCCTTGCTGGAGGCCAACCTCATGTTCCCTGCTGAGCACCATGAATCTGCAGGATTCAGGCCAGTAATACTGTGGTTACTCGCAATAATGGCACTGGGAAGAATGGAGAAAAAACATCTAAAACAGATTAACAAAATATGTATGTCTGGTCTGTACACAGCCTATGTCTGCTGTCTTGCATCAGTTAGTGGTGTGAACAATATGTTCCCCTCATAAATCTGTCATTCAATCTCAATCCCAACCCAGAAGTTCTCTCTCCATTACTGTACTCCCAGAGCAGGCAGGGAAAGCTCTCACATCTTTGGTTCTTGTATGGTGTGGAAGAAAGTAACTCTTCAAACTTACAGTATTTTACAAATACCAGAAATGTGAAGTATGTTTTGAAGCACTAATCAAGCTTTGGCATCTCTCTGCTGAGCAGGTCACTATTATTATTGCCCTTTGAAAAAGAGGAGGATATAGGGTGAACTTTTTTCCCCAAGCTCACACATGAAATTAAGTGGGGTAACCACGGAAAGCATACAGATTTTATAGTTCCCAGTTCTGTGCTCTAGCCACACAGTCTACCTTTCCCTTTTGCCTGCCCCCTCAGTTTGCCGTTACTCAGTGCTGAAAGGCAAAAGATCCCAAATGACACAAACTTATCCACAAAACATTAATGTGGGAATCTGAAGCCGTAGCTAATTTGCTTAGTGCAAGCAACTCTTTTTATCTCCCGTTCATCATGCTGTGCTTCTGACAGAACTTATTTTCAGTTATGAAAGTAAGCTATGTCACATCAGTGTGGTATACAAGCCACGTGAGGATAATGACATTGGGGAAAGACAGGCCTCAGAGAGATGTACTCATCACAACTTAAAGAACTGCAGTGAATTTCTATTTATATCAGTAAATCCACAACTTTGTTTGCAGGCTCTAAACCAAATTCTCCATCCATGCAGGCTCTGATGTGTCACTGGGTTCCTCTTTTCATTCCCTTGCTTTCTACCTATTTAGAGGAATTTTAAAAGGCTGCCTCTCAAAGCTGCACCAAACACCCTAAAGATAGGACCGTGTAGTTCAGCGTACAGAAATGTCATGTTCTTTCTATCATCATCTCTGTACCTACCGTTTCCAAAACATTCACTTGCCCAACACAGTGTAAAGTGGTTGCAAAGAACTTTACAGACTCTGGAGTAACACCAACTTCCCTCCTGCATAATGTGCAGCTGCTGAACAGCACATCTGCACTGATTTACCCCTGCCTTTTTTGTGCCTTCATATGTTTACTTGTGCACCCACAGCTCTTTCTAAAAGAAACTTGATTCTTACTTTCACGGTTGCGTTAACATGACACCAAAACCTGCTCCTGCGGCAGTTTGCAGGGGGATGAGGATGTCATGCTGACACATCCAGGGCTTGATCTGACAGCAAACAAGGATTGCAAAAAAATAAACCTTTGGTTTGAATGGTTTTGGCTGGGAGGAGAAAGCTCTCCTGGCTTTCAAGCACAAGTACCCTCATGTTTTCAATGGAGACTGGGGGGTAGGGGGGCCATAAGCTGCTGGGGATAGGAAGATGGCAGAGGCTTTTATGGTTTATGCCATCAGAAGACTTTGCCTTACACACCCTTCATTCCCCAGTCTCTGAACTAAGTCAGGTCTAACCCTTCTAAATGTAAGCAGCAATGGTTTATGTTGTCTCAGACCAGACATTTTGAAACAGAAGGCTGACTGCTGCCCTTCACTACCTTTTGCTAATCCACCTGCCAGTAGTCTCAGGCACAGCAGACAGAGGGGCTTGTCTCCTTTTGTCACCATATGCATGCTTTTAGGGCACACAATGACAATCAGGACAAAAACACCACTGGGATTTCATTGTATTGTGCCGATGCAATGTAATTTGGCAGCACACAGAGAATGCAGCAGAAAAACAGCAGGGAAGATGGTGATGGGAAACCACACACTCAGGCTGCAGGAGTCAGGAATCAGTTTATGTGCAGTCCTGGGAGCCAAATGCAAGTGGGACACACACACATGTACATAGCATGCGCATGCACACAGACACACACATAGAGCTATGGGAATTAATCAGGAGATGCAGGGAGCATTTGAGCACAGCCACAAACACAGAAATCAGTAGCTTATCTCCTAGACCCCATAGAACGAGGGGACTCAAGGACAGGAGTTGTAACCTTACATAACTATTGCTTTGCTGCCGTGATCTGGAGGCTCCTGACAGAATCATGGTGCTGGCAGAGCTCATGCAGATACCAAAAAGGCTAAGAAGAGCTCAAACCCAGATTTCCTCTGAGACAATGTGGCTGGAATTTTTGATTACTACATGCATTGCAATTATTTCCTGTCTCTGAGGAAAAGGAAGCATCTCTGGGGAGACAAAAACATGGAAAAGGAGTATAGGAATTGCTGCAGGGGGATCTATAGGTAAGGCATCCAAAGGGAATATCACATGGTGAGACTAGAGAGGTAAAAACCTTTATAGGTGAATTTTGCACCAGTAATGAACAGATTGATGGGTTCTGCTTCTCAAATCACATACCATCTTTTCCATGAGAAGGAGGTAATACAATTTATATTGTCTACACTGAGTCTGGGAGACAGCTGTGCAAGACAAACACCTTCCCATACTACTTTTACCTCGGGTCACCATATTTTCCCGAAAACTCATGCAGAGGCTGTGCACATGGATGCCATGCCCGCAGTGAAGAAGATAAAAGTGCTCATTCCCTTCTTAAAGGAAAAAAAGCAAACAATATTTTCACTTTCACACCAGCAGCAAGCAGCAGGCGAGAATCAAGACGTGCTAAGAGATGCAAGCATGTCCTTTCCAACAGATACCTTCTTCTTTGCCAGCAGTAAGTCCTGGTAAGCGTTCGAACGCAGAAAGCGTGCGTAGCTGTCACTCTTCATCAGCTTGTAAATGTGCTCCTGTGGGATAGGGGGAATGAGAGACAAAGAATTGTTATCAAAGCTCATTTAAACATCACAGGAACTTAAAACACGGAGAATTGGAAGGAAGAGAGACTGATCAGAGTTCTAATTAAGTCTGCTGTTATTGATTATCTGTGTTGTGGTAGTGTACACGAGGTCCATCCTGGGGCAGGACCCTGCTGTACCTGGAGCTGTATGAACACAAAACAGAGAGACAACCCTCACCCCCAAGGCTGGCACACATTATTCACATTATTCTGCAAAGATTGCAACTCTCTGAAGTACCCAGATTATAAGAAGTGCCTACCCTGGAAAGAAGAAATAAACACCACAAATTGTCTCATTGATTAGGTTTCATTTTACCAGCTACAGATACTTGAACAATCACTCAGCACTCCCTTTCTGTTCATGGAGGGGAACTGATACTTGCACACATTTCATCTCCACTTCAGATATGCACTTAAGTAAGCCAACATGTTAATGTCCAGAAGAAACCCATGTCTGTGATGATTATGAAGGGAAGTTACATGACTAGCTCCAATGTGGATGGCTACATCCTATGTATAAAGTTACATTGGATGAGTCCCTCTCTTAGGGTTTTCTCTTAAGTCAAACTGCTGTTACCAGTTTGCTCTGAGAGCACTTACTATGTGTATCTTCAAATTTAAAAAGTGGTGTTTCAATACATACATATACATACCCTTTTCTAATTTCCTTGCTAAGCTTTACTTTCCTGCTGAGAATCCCTTAACACAGTCAGCTTTTCTCCTAGTTATCCCTGGATTTACAAAAGATATTATCCCAAACACCAGGAAAATAAAATCAAAATACTTTGACCAAATAATGACTGAGAACACACTAAAGGGCTCAAGAGAAAAACAAGCACCTTGGACCTTTCTCTTAGACTTTGCCCAAGGAAGCACTTTTATAGAGTCAATGAGCAGTTTTATCTATAGTGAATTATACAACATGAAATATTCTCTCCAGCCCTAAAGCCATTGTACATGAAACTTTAGAAGAACCAAACCAGACAGAAGTCACATAGCTTATTTCAGTGTGTTAACAAGCCAAGCAGAATTCCCTTATCTTCACCATCACAGGTAATTAGCAATGACCTGTCTATACACAGAAGAACTGCTTAATTCAGCTTTCTTACCCTATTTGGTGTAGTCCTATGAGGGCCACTGGTTTTCCTTTGACACAGCATAAATGTATTCTTTGAGCTAAATCCTGGCATGGAACAATTTGTACTGGTTAATTTCCATAGTTGCTTTTAGTCTTGACAGATGCTCATTTGTGCAACACTATCTATCCAAAGGATAGCACAAGATTTAGCAAGAGAATCGTTCATATAAAACTATTTAGCAACTGTTACCCTTCTTGCTCAGAAAAAACACATGGTAGAGCACAGTTTCATACCCCTCATGTACAGCATTTCCATGAGATTTGATAGCCAGCTGCAGGACATTTGTTCTATTTATGCAGGACAGAATGAGCCAAGTATGCCCTAAGACAAGAACAGGGAACATAATGCACATCATGGATATGACCATCAAAAGGTTTGTATTCTCTCTTAAAGACTTCAACTAGCATAAACTCAAGACTGTTGATTTAAAGCCAACCACACCTCAACCAGTTTGCCTGAACTGCTACATCTTAAGGTTTCCAAGGAGACTCCACGTCCTCCTAATAAGTTCTTTGTAACTACTTGGGAAACAAACCCACGTAACTGGTGCTTTTCCAGGACCATGAGGAGACTGATGAGTAATTGGGCACCTTGTAGCCCATCAGCAGTAAAGGGCCTCCAGAGCCTTCATCCTCTTAGTGGTCCTCTTTACAGCAGCCAGTACATGCAGGGTGCTGGTGGGACAGGTGCTGAGGTGGGCAGGAAGGTTCTGTGGCTGAGCCAACATGATGGGTGACAGCGATATTTATATTAACATTTTGCTAGATGTGATTAATTTTTTTACTGTCTTTGGGCTCCAAATGGTTTCTTTACCAGTGGTAAGACAACTGTGTCTGGTCTGAAACATGATGATAACATTTTTGGAAAATAACTTCCAGTTTTCATTGCCACACAGACAGAAGCAAAGGACAACACATGAGGCTGTCCATACGACCTACCTGTATGCCAGCAACAACTATCATTCTTGCTCATGTCAAGAGAACTTCATATATTTGACCTTAAAACAGTATAAACTCAGTAACTGGTGGTCAGAAGGAGCAAAAATTGCTTTGATCCTGAGATGAAATAAACCACAAACTGCCTTCTTAACTGAAGCCCTTCCCTGAAACAGGAATATTGCACAGCCACAGCTCTCCTGCCTCTGCAGTTAGCTAATTGGTATGAAGCATTTTCTCAGCTTTTCACATCTTGCAATCACTAAAGAACAACAGTGCTACCTTTCAGCTGATCACCAAAGATATAATCAAACAGGGAATTCCTAGGCTTTGAATGCTAATGAAGACAGAAGGTTGGGCATAGGAGACATGATAGCTTCAGAAGCAAACTTTACTTTTTAATTGTAAGAATTCTAAGGGCCTGCTTTCAACAATCCCTATACTGAAGGCATGAATGATACACTAGTAATTTATTTTATAATACTGCATTTCTGAAGCACCTACTGGAAATCTGAGCAGTTGCTCAGATCAGCAAAGACTGCCTTCCAATTTGCAACAGTACAGGACAACTTGCATTGCTACAGTGAAAATCCCTACTGAGACTGCACCCTGAAGATTACTGCTAAAATTGTGGCTGTGGTGTGTGCCCAGCCCATTTACACACCAAATCCAGCTGCAGAATGGGAAAAGCCGGTGGCTGGAACATTTGTTTTGATCTCTAGCCTACTCTGTTCTTTGCCATGAAGCTATTTTGTCGTATGCATTCTAGAATCTGCAACTTCCTAGGGAGAACCTACAGCTAATGTTTAGCAGCTCCTCATTCCATAAATACCTTGAAGGCTACTGGACATCTAACAACTGATCATATTCTTCTGTGGAAGCCTGAGCAACAGGCAGAGGTGTGGGCTTGGATTTAGTTGTTCTGTACAACATGTGCAAATTGTCTTGTCCTTCTCTGTCAAGGATTTTTAGCTCACTTTGGATTATTGCAACCCACTGGTCTCTCATGTCTTATTTTACTGAGCAGCTGGGTTTTTTTCCACCTTTTTATCACATGATGGAAAGAAAGGACACCCACATTAAAGACTGAAATTTTCCAGTGTAATGCACTTTATAAACATGCACAATCTCCCTGACATTACATGACAGTGCTGGTAAGAAGTTTGAGCTTTTCCATCCTTATACTGAGATAATTCTCAATTTTTTAAGTTTTTTTTTTTTTTCAGGGTGATGAGCTCACTACTGCTGGTTCCCTAAATAGAAAAAGTAAATGCACTACCTGTGTAACTTTTAACAATGCAGCTGCAGACATTTTAGTCTCTTGCACTGTGAGCAGTCTGTCCAGAATTATCAGTGCAACACTTCTTTACAAGTGCCATGGGAAGTTCCTGTGCCCCATCTGCACAAGAGCAGGAGGACCATTTCTTCTAGGTGGTGTAGGCTCTCCCAGCCATTGCCATGTACCACTTCCAACATATGGCTCAGTCTCACAGCTCCCTGCTCCAGCAATCCTTTAGGGAGTTACATTGCAAACCCAAGGATTTAAAACAATCATCTAACAAAACTGCCCAAGTGATCTATTAAACCATTAAACAAGGTAGCTTATAAAACCAGATAAAATGCAGGGGAAAAAAGTCTTTAAAGATTTGGCCAGCAATTGACAGGCATCACGTGTCCCACTGGTCTCCCCTGCAGCCTTGCCAGCTCTTTCTGAGCACTGAGCTGCCATCTCAGGCCACTGCAGTGGCAGCTGCAAGTGGAGAGAGGGACTGACTTGACATGTGTGAGGGAGCCCTGGCAAGCTGGCTTTTTGAGCTGACCAGTCACTCAGTCCCTCACACAGCATGCTGCTGATGAGTACTGGCTGTACTGATACTCGCCTGTGACAATGGGTGCACATTGGGAAATGTCAGTCTACCATGGAACCAGCTTTTCTAAGTGCAGTGGATTTAATCTCCAGGTAGCAAACAAATCCCTTACAAGACTCTTGCAAGCAGAGTGGGTTTGCCATCAAATGTCCCCATGACTGTTGTTTCCCAGCTCTTGAACCAAGGCAACAGAAGCAATGAGATCTGCTCGCATCTTGTCATGAGAAAAAAGCAGACCCTTATTTGTGTTTTATGCACCTGAATCATGTGTCCTCCATGGTGGGGAAAATATGCCGTGGTCCTGGGGGCTGTCCAGCTTCACTGAGCACACTGTCTGTACATGGTCTTCTGTCATGAGAGCTACACTTCACACAACATAACCATTCTACTTGCCACAACCATTATATGATATAAAGAAGAACAAACAGTACATTTAAAAGGAGGAAATGTTGTCCCTTCTAGAAAAAAAAAAAAGGAACCAATGAGATAAATCACCAAAAAATTCTCTTTTACAATTAAGTGAAACCAACAGGAAATCCCACCCCTGACAGCTGACAGCTTAAGTGCAGGGAAGTAAACCCTGATAAGGTTCAGCATCTCTTGGCTATTTTCCTTCCACAAGCTTTACCTTTGGAAAGAGATGAAGGACAGGCTTAGTAAATTATTCCTGACAAGAGGGGAAAGGGGGAGGAAAAAATAAAGTTTGCAATCCAGACGGGAATGTAGGAGGTGGCTGAGATAGCAGAAACCATCTCAAAGCTGCACCTGCTCCAAATCAATGTGCTGCAATGTGATCTCAGGTCTCTCTTCCCCCTCTCAGTCAAAGCACAGTGACCCTGAGGAGGGCATGGCTGCCAGATAAGCAGAATATTGGGAACACTCAAGAAAAATGTGGGAAAAAACCTGAATGATAAAAAAACCAAACATCTGACTTGCATAAGGCACATGGTAGATCCCAGGAATTACCTTCTCTGTTAAGAATGCTTCTTTTTGGCAGAAAACCTTGGT